TTTGACAGCCGTACTCCTCATTTTGTAGTTACGTCGCTTCTTTGGACAATGTTGAGCAGTGTGCTTAGGTTCTCCACAATATAAGCACAATCCTTCCTGTCGACGACGAGACTTTTCTTGCTCAGTAAGAGGTTTGAAACGTACCGCATCAATTTGCATATCCTCTACTTCCGAAGGTATGTGTTGAGGAGACGTCGGTGTTGCCATTGAATTGTAGTAACGTTGAGGCCCACTTGTGCGACTCTCGGATCGAAATTCAAAAAGTCGATTGTCGCACTTCACAGCAAAGTCAATTGCTTGACTCAATGTTTGAGGATCAGGTAAATTAAGCATCAATTTCTTTACCTCATATTGTAATCCGTAGAGAAATTGACTCACAAGTGCGGCATCATCCCACTTGATATCAGTTGCAAGTTGTCAAAATTGCGAAGCATATAATGTTACTGATCGATTGCCTTGTCGCAAAATACGGATCTTGTTGGTTGCAACACGAATTGCATCATGTTCTCCAAACATGGATCGAAACTCCACCAAAAAAGTCTCCAGATTATCCAATATTGGATCTCGTCGTTCAAGAAAAGATGAAAACCATGACAATGCTGAACCTGAAAGAAGTGTACCAATGAATCTAACTTGTGACCCTGGAGTTGGATAGCTCTGGGGTTGAAGTTCAATCACTAATTGGACCTGATTGATGAATCCTCGAAACTTGGATCTGGTACCATCAAACTTCTCGGGCAAGGCCACTCTCGGTTCTCTAACACTCGAAGGGTGTTCCATTCTGGGAGAAGGGACATGGTTTGGTGCAGATGTTGAAGCAGCCCCAATCATCTCTATATCTTCACTTCCTACCATTCTTGTTGCTCCTTGTGGTGGTAAATTGAGTTGATGCATCGCAAGCATTAACTCCCTCAATTGTTCTTGCATCTGTGCCATTGCACTCTTCATTTCAACAAGCTCTGCCATAGTAGCACTTAGAAAAGAGAAGATGTCTAATAACGCTCAAAACAAATAGAAGAGAGGAATTGATAACAAAGAAAATACTAAGAACAATATCAGTTTAAAAGAGGGTAATCCGCAACTTCTAATGCGCTTATGTCTTATCAAGAAAAAGGGGTAATCCACTCTTAATCAAGAAAAGACAAAGCTCTCATATTGTAAGTGTACTCTTGTCAATCTGTCAAGGACAAGAACTCGATGAAAGCTAAAGAGTAAGTGAGACTTTTCTCAAAGAAATAGGACAAAATAGAAATATGTATATTAAGAAAGAAATTAGAATGGCTATTGCCAAAATACAAGAAAACTAGAGACCCTTGAAACTAGACTAGAAGCAAGAAAGGAGTTGACAAGAGTGAAGAGGGCTTCACTCTTGCCTCTATATATACTATCTAACTAGAAGCCACATGGCGATGTTCTATAAGACCTCCAATATATGTTGACTTTCTAGGCCACATGCCTTTGCTTACAAGGCAAGTTTTCTATGGATGGACCACGTAGTTAGCTTGTTCTTTAAGCTTCCAACATGTGTGGCACATGGCTAACTTGTTGACCAAGTTTCTAGCCTAAAAGTCAACTATAGACTCCTATAAAGTCAAAGCAGCGTCTATAAAGCTTCTAAGAAGCTTCTCTAGAAGATATTACACAATTAACCTACTTTTATCTACTTTTACATACTTTTATCTATTCATATAGGTAATTATATGTATGTCCGTGACAATAACACATTTTATCTTGTATAAAAAGATAATTTCCAAATATTAAAAAAAGGCTCTTTTTTAATAATATATATCAATGTCATGGCCTATTTAATGACATCATTTTTTTTATTAAGGACCTCAATTTATATCAAAGTTTTAAAAATTATTTTTTAAAATATTGAAGGTAGATATCAAACTTTTTTCTATCTTCTATCTTCAAACAAATGGTCAAACAAAATAAATCAATGAAGTTTTAGAGCAGTATTTGCAATTATTATCAACTATTGGCAAGATGATTGGACCTCATATTTATCTTTAAGAAAATTTCTTGATGATAATACTTTTTATGCTTTGATTCAATAAATACCATTTTATTTTAATTATAATTGCCATCGAAAGCTAAATTTATTAGGTATCAAAAAATAATAATTTAGCACTTGGAGATCTTGCAAAATAATTATTACAACTCCAAACAACTTTGAAGCTCCATTTACAAGAAACTTAAGATTCTTATAAAGCATCTTTAGATGAATTTAAATAAGTATTGTTTTCTTTCTAAGTTAGAAATAAAGTATGGCATCTTTGACATAATATCAAAACCAATCAACTTTACAATGAGTTGGACTACCAAAGACTAGAGCTATTTTGTATTTGAAAGCAAATTAATTCAATAGCTTATTGGTTAAAATTACCTATATTTTTGAATTTACATCTAATATTATATGTTTTTTCCTTGAGGCTTATTTAAAATTAATTATTTTAGAAAGAATACAACCATTATTATCTTGCATTAAAATAGATAATCATATAGAATATGAAGTAGAAAAAATCTTTGATTCTTATCAAAGAAGAGATAAGTTGGAATATTTTATTCATTAGCACGACTAGAATATCAATCAATGTATATGAAAACTAATAGAAAATTTAGTTGATGTACCGCAAAAGGTACATGGATTTCATTAATCCTATTGTCAAAAATCCAAATCAATTTTAGGATAACTTTTTTATGAAGCTACTGCTAGAATGTTGTATATAATAAAAAAATCATATATGAAATTGATGATCATTGAAGAATTCGAATTTAAAAAGAGAGATGATGTTATGAACATCCAACAAGAAGATTTTAGAAATATTTTTAGAATATTATATTAGATTTTAAAAGATCTTATAAGATTCTTTAAAATATTAAAATATTTTTAAAAAATTTAGATAATTTTTAGAATATTATAATAGATTTTAGAGAGTTTTTAGAATATTCTAATAGATTTTTGAAAATTCTAGGATGATTAAAGAAGTTTTTTGAGAAGCTTTCTAGGATTGCTTCATCTTTCAGTAACATGATAACTTCTTGAGGAGCTTTTTAAGGTTATTTCATCTTCAAGCAACATAGGAAGTTCTTGAGAAGCTTCTTAATTCCTAATATATATTAAAGTCGAGGTTGAAGAGATCTTTAGTCTTGACAATACATTTCTCGGAGCTCTAATTCACTTTTCTTGATATTAATCTTGTATTCATCTACTTTAATCAAGTTTTTATTAGCTTTTTTTTATTAAAATTCTTTTATTCAACTTCTTGCTTAATTTCTTTTATAGTATATCCATGATAGAAGCATATCTATAGAAAGTATAAAAGAAAAAATGAACATTTTTATTAAGATTATTTTGCAAAGAATCCAACTTTTGATACAACCAAATTTTAGTAGAGATTTAAGATAAGATATGAATTATTTTTACATATAATTGATATTATATGATGTTTTAATTTATAATTTATCTAAAAGTTAGATGGATTGGAGAAGTTAAAATTATCATTTATATTTAAATGTAGCCTTACATATGTTAACATACAATATTCTATTTGATACTTATAATGAATATTATTTGCTTAATAATTCCACTACCTTTGGAGTTATAAATTAACTAGCATCAAAGTGTTAGTATTTGCTCTCAACATTGTAATGCACTATATTCTTCTATTGGATTAGACTTAGACTCATTGATTGACATTATAAATACAATCAAAGCCTTTTTTTCTTACAAACTTTGCATCTTGATTATATTTGTATTAGTCATTTCTAAAGCTAATCATACTTCTATCCAAGTTACCAAACTGCATTGCTTTTAGCTATGCAACTCTTTCTTTGTAAACTTGCTCTTCATAAACTTACTAAGATTCTTGTTGTAATTCAACTATACCTTTTATTTAGTGAACAACAAAATACCACAAATTTTGGACAAAAGATTGATATAAGAAGTAGCAGTTTGAAACTAGCCCTGTTAGTATAGTACAAAGAAGGAGTTGCATAGCTCAAAGCAACTAATAGGTTGCCAATTGTTAACTTACTACCAAAAATCACATATAGTGCAATACATGCATCTACATGGATAGAAGGAAAAAAAAATTGTAAATTTTGACATTCTCCAAATGAAGGTGAATAATGAGTGTTGTTATTCTGAACTGCAACACTGTAAAGTTTTGAAGACTTCCAAAGGGCATTATTACTACAATGAACTACAATGAGATTGTGAAGTGCTGGTTTAGGGTTTTGCATTATGGCTTGATACCAACCTTATGTTGTCATTGTCATCCTAGGTTCATCAATAACCTTGTCCTTGTGAACATGACTTTCTTTTGTAATAGTGCTTGCAGATGGCAGGTTTTGGGCAACCCTAATTGAAGCTTGGGAGCATTGCAGCTACTTTGCTTCAAGTGGGTTCATGAAGAATCTGATATCATATCAATTTCTAAAATGTAAATAGTAGTTGAGAGAGTGTAGGTCTTACACTTGGTGTTGGAATTGGGTGTTTACTTGTTTCCAATTGTGAATTGTTTTCCTAAACAAAATCAATCATTTTAAAAAAAGTTCCATATGAATGTCATGAATTTCCACTAAAAATGTTTGCACTTTGGTAAAATTCTATATTATCATGTAATTGATTTTTTTTTACAATTTATTGAGTTACAAGATTTCAAATTCAGCTCATGTTTAATTCCAGAGTAAAGATCACAAAGAATCATTGCTGATGCAAATCAAACAAATATAAGACATGCATAGACAACTATTTGACATTAAAATTGAATTATTGAATGGATTTTATATTTTATATTTTTTTATATACATTTCTTTCCAACCCACCATGTACCAAAATACTTGAATATTTAAAGTGAAAAAAATCTATCATAGACTAAATGCAAGATGTTAATCCATCTCAAATTACCAAGAACAGAGCTCATTTAGTGATGTTCGTTAATTTACTAATGGCAGAGGCCAACTGTGGCCTTTGGAGGGGAGGGGAGGGGGTGAGACCGGAGCGGGCCAAGGGGAACAGCCGGGATGAGAGAAACCCGCGATGCGGGGGCAAGGGAGGAGGAGCCTCAAGAAGGCGGCCAGGGCCATCTCTCGTCCTCTTTCGAGTTTCTAGGGTTCACTCCCTCGTCGTCTCCTCCCTCACTCTCCTCATTCCGACGACGACATCGATTCGCAGCCATGGTGTCCCTCAAGCTGCAGAAGCGCTTGGCCGCTTCTGTGCTCAAGTGCGGTGAGCGCAAGGTATGGCTCGATCCCAATGAGGTCAACGAAATCTCCATGGCCAACAGCCGACAGAACATCCGCAAGCTGGTGAAGGACGGCTTCGTCATCCGCAAGCCCCAGAAGATCCACTCGCGTGCTCGTGCCCGCCGTGCCCTGGAAGCCAAGCGCAAGGGTCGTCATTCTGGCTACGGAAAGCGCCGCGGTACCAGGGAGGCCCGACTTCCTACCAAGGTGACTAACCACACATGCGCCGTCTTGAGCTTTGGGTCTAGGGTTTGAGGTGACGATGGATCATGGCGTTTAGCCTGCACCGCGTTTATGTTATTTTATTTTATTTTATTTTTTCTTCCTCCCTGCAGTTGCTAGACCCTAGCATGGTTGGAGTATGCTATTACTTTGTAAGTCTTGATTTTAGGGTTTTCCGATGAGACGGTGATTCTCCTCACCTTTTCATTCTTCTATTTTTTCTTGTCAATTCTACGGTGATGTTACCTCATCCTAATTTAGTTTTTCCCCCCTCGTATCTCTAGGGTTTCCTGGGGGCTTTGGCCATGATTTCGGGATTGGCCTTCAACATCGTTTTGTTTATGGTTGTAGGTGATTTAGTTATCCGGTCTACTTAAAGTGGATAATGATGTTAAATGATGTTAGCGATTTATTTTAGGGTTCCGCGATTGCACTCAGCTTCTGAATTCTGGGTTGAGATTTCACTTTGTGGATGTTAAATCACAAGGTCTTTTTCGTGACTAGGACGCAATGGCGTGAAATAGGTAATTTCATTTTATTGTCAAATACTTCAGGATAGCGAAATATTACGGGACGCTGTATACTCTGATGAAGCATAACACTTACACCTTTCAATGAGTCTCATTCGTGTACACAGCCTTCATTTTGTTTCGGTGTATTTTAGTGAAGGTGGTACTGCGCTTTAAATGTTCAAGTTAGAGCTGTATGTCTTGACATGCGGGATTCAAGGGCTGTTTTAAAGTGATTGGAAAGGTGTCTAATCAACTAATTGATTTATTGCAGGTGCTGTGGTTGCGGCGCATGCGTGTGTTGAGACGTCTTCTGCGCAAGTACCGTGACGCTAAGAAGATTGACAAGCACATGTACCACGACATGTACATGAAAGTCAAGGGTAACGTATTCAAAAACAAGCGGGTGTTGATGGAGAGCATTCACAAATCCAAGGCTGAGAAGGCACGTGAGAAGACATTGTCTGACCAGTTCGAGGCCAGGCGTGCTAAGAACAAGGCCACACGTGAGCGTAAGATTGCTAGGAGGGAAGAGCGTCAGGCTCAGGGTATCCCTGAGGCTGCCCCCGCCCAGGCTGCTGAAGCCCCAGTTAGTGCTGCTCCAGTGAAGAAGTCCAAGAAATAGAGTATATGACTTTTATCTCTGTAGTATGAGCTCTCCTCCTGGGTGTGAACCTACACCAAAGGATGTCTTCTTCTTCACACACATCACTTCTTGGCTTTGTAGTGTTCTTCAATCTAATTGCCCTCGCTCCGTGGGCTACATTTTCTTCTTATGTGGCTGCAGGTGGTGCTCTTGAATGATTTACTTGCAATTGGACATGTTGACACACACCTCGCCGACTGACTGTTGTGGTGTATTTCAGCTCCTAATCGGTTTTTGGACGAAATCATTCTGGTGGTTGATGACCCACCTGTTCATTTTCTTTCGTCAAGCGCCCCCCAGGCAACTCAGTGGTGGTTGTCAGTCTTCACCACAGGAAGTTTTAATTACTCAATTCTTTACAACTGAGTGACAAGAGTTGATAATGTAGATTTTGCTGAAAGACGTGAAACCTGCTCATCTCACTGGACTTGGTGAGAATTACTTCGCGTCGAGAACGTCATGTGGTTAAGTATGTTACTATGGTGTAGCAGTGTGGAACGGAACGAGAAACTACTCTATGCACGGTCAATACAAATTCATCTTTAGTATAACGCTTTTACGCGGGAATAATGCACTCATCTGGATATGCGCATATCCTCCCCAAAATCGGAAGATATTGGTGTTGGTTTTTGACAACGATGTCGAACAGTCCTGTACAGTAGTGGCCATGCACAACGCTGTCACATAGCATGGCTACCCGAAAATGTTGTGGTACACTCTTCTTTAGAGAATGGGCCATGTTATAATTTGACCCAGAGAACAAGTCTTGTTGTGTGACACCTTGTAAAATCAGCCATCTCACTTGCAGTTTTAGAGTTCCAATACTCAGATGTTCCAACATTCTCTTCGAAAAGTGTTGGATATATTGTTCTTACTAATAGGTCTTTAAGCTATGGTTAGAGTTATGTCAATGAATTCGTGATGTAATTCTGAAGAATATGATCATCTAGATTTGAAAGAAGATGTTTTGTGTTTTTCCAGGAGATTTTGAATGAGAGGAGGTGGATGATAGAGGAACACGCTTCCTCTCCTTTGCACAAAACATGCTTGGTAATCTTCTCAAACTTTTCATAGTTCCAAAGACACCACACAGGCTTAAATCCACAATTCGTCCTCTTCCACCTGTCACCTCATATTGCAAGATGGCAATCCTCACTCAATAAAAATAACCTTCCAGATCTTCTTAATCCAACCAGATCAACAGAAATCCGACTAGAGGGGGCCATTAGACATCGCACACTTCCAACGTCGCATCCGAGTTTAGAAGTCCTCAGCTTGAAGACTCGAGCATGCTGCTCTGTGAAATAGTCTATAGAACTCCGTCTTTTAGCTGTCGAATTTGTTGGTTGAAACCATCAACCTGGGTTCAGTAGAATCAACAACCCTATCGAAAGGTGAATCAGTTAGCAGCTCATCGTTTTGCTCGCATATGCGCTCTTCGGAGTCATCTAACAGGCATGAGCTATCACGCCTGGATGATTACAGTAGAGACCTTTCCCAGAGCTGATGAGCTGAACCTCCAGTTGGGTCTGCGGCGTTGGGTTGTCTACGATGAAGCCTTAACAAGCATTGCAAAGCCGCCATGAGAGTTTGATTGAGATCTAGCTACGTAACAGTGAATTGAAAGGTAGTTAACCACCGCCACCTTCACTCAACGCAAGATTAGTGATTTCTGAACGAGGTGGTTCTGGAGTCGCAGAAAGAAGAAAGCATATTCTAATGCATTGTGAGGGTGCAAGCTTTGGAACATTCTTCTCTGTCTCAATATCCGCTATATCGAAAAACCACCGACACAACTTTGCGGTGGGAGAAGATTCATAGCCTTGTCGGTAGATGCCATTTGTGTGTGTCGGTATGATTTTGGACTGTAAAGGCTCCGAATTGAGTTGCAACTGCGCTTCTATTTGTCTCTTTTTTAGTGATGAATTCATCTCCTACATCAATGGCTCTTTTGTTTCTTTGTGGCCTACATGATTGTGGAGTTTTACACTTGAATCAACTGGTGCTTTTCTAATGGTTCAGAATCATTCTGTCTATTAATCTGAATATATATATATATATATATATATGATGAAAGAATGCTAGAAAACTGTTACTTATCGTTGATGGTTGTAACATTCTACACTGAAAACCATGATTAGTGGCAAAAGCGATCTGTGTTTTATTATGTCAGTTATTTTCACACCCTCACCAGACAAAGCGATGATAAATTGTTTGAATTTGGAATAAACATAGTTTGGAAAGTCTAGCAAGTTTAAATTTATATTAAATTAAATTATTTAATATCAGAGATATTTAAAAACAGAAATTATGGTTATAAATTTATATTTAATTTTATATAATACTATGCATTCATTAAAAAGAAGAAGAAGCATAGACTGTTTATTTTATTTTATTTTATTTATTTACATTAAATCAGCATGTTATGTGTTAAATCTCATTTTTTTACTTGGTTTCTTTATAATAGTCAAAGTGGTATTAATTATAAACATTTAAAATTGGTTGAAGAAAAATATACATTAATACATTATAGTTGTGATAGTAGACTGATATTCTCAAGATTCATAAAATGTGAAACAAGTATGTGGGAATGTGAGATTTTGCTGTCATAATTTTCATCATGAAAACTAGTTTATACATTCTAAGAAAAAAAATATAAAATTATTAGATATTTTCATTGCAAAATTCAGCTGATATTGGTCCTAAACCACATATTATATAGTAGAGAAATAACAAAAAGAGGTATAAAAAGAAACGATTTTTTAATCCTTTTATAGTTTTTTTTATTGAATGTTGATCATTACATTATGTTTGTTTTTTTTATATAATTCTATTTTTTTTTTGAAAATAAAAAATATATTTTTTTTATATTTAATTGCAATATTCATCTTCATACATGCTAATGTGTGTGTGTATGTATATATATATATATTCAATACATGTAAATATGTTGTATGTGAATATTTATATTTTAACATATAGAAATATAATTTAATGCAACAAACTGTCTAATCCAAAAATGGACATTAAAATAAATATTTTCTACTAAAAAAGTAATTTCAAATGAAATTTTTACTTACACAAAATATTATTTGGATCAAAATGTACTAACTTTCTTATTATAAAGAAAAGAATAGGCTCTTTACATTCAAGAAAATATAAACAATGATAAAAAATCCACTAGTATTAACTTAAAACTTTATATTATTAACTAATATTCTAAAATGCTATTGTTCAAATTTTTTTCTACTACTTGTATCATTCATTTTGTGTTACATTTATTGAAGAAATAGAACTTTGAAGTCACAATACATAGCATCAGTAAGGTTGTACACAAAGAGAGTATGGAGTAAGATGTCTCTCATTTCCAACACCCAATACTTATAGGTTGTGATTGCTGCCCTACAAGACAACTTCTACTCATTGACTTTTACATAGATGATCCTTGGTCCTAGAATCTTTTGGTATCTAACGTACCTCGAGGGTATCCTATGGTCCTTGGATCCTTTGGCATCTTACTAACCACAAAGGTCTCCTATGCCAAATACTAATTATTCTTACATTATTTATGGATATTCTCTAGTTCATATTTTGTCCTCTTGACTTTGACTCTTGATCCTTGACCTCATCCTATATCCATAGGATGCTCTTTCTATACACGAAGAGTCAACCTTTTGACCATTAACAACTTACCTTAGGTAATATCCTCTACAAGATAATTTATTCTACTTTCACTTTTACTTCAACACTCCCACTTTGCTATTGGTCAAAAGACTTTTAATCCTAATGCCTTTGTCAACATGTGATGTTTATCTTTTACTAATGCCTTTGTCAACAAATCAGCAAGCATGTCTTCCATTGCACAATACTTCATATCAATCACTCCCATTTCAATCTTTTCTCTTATGAAGTGATGTTGAATGTCAATGTGCTTGGTCCTTGAATGATGCTCTGGATTCTTTGTAAATGCAAGACATCCTTGATTGTCACACTTCATTGAAGTTGCTTCCATTTGCACATCTCCAATGTCCTCTAAAAGTTGTCTTAGCCATATTGCCTCCATTGCACCATGGCTTGATGCCATATACTCCGCTTCCATTGTTGACCTTGTAATTGTTGGTTATCTTTTGCAATTCCATGAAATTGCTCCCACTCCAACAAAGAATACATATCCCATTGTTGACCTTCTATCATTTGCATCTCCAGCCCAATCTGCATTACAATAACCATACATAATAATGTTATCACCTCCAAGACATAATTTGAAGTTCAAAGTACCTTTTAAGTACTTCATGATCCTTTTGATGGTTGCCTAATGGATTGGTCCAGCCTTTGATATGTGTTGACTCACAACACTCATCGCATACACAAGATCCACCCTTGTGCCAACCATTGCATACATTAGTGAGCCCACTGCCGCTTTATATGGATCACCTTGCATTTGTCCTTCAACTTCAGCAAACTCTTCTTCCGTGAGCTTCATCAACTTCAAATTGACCTCCAAAGGTGTTCCAATAGGCTTGGACTCCTCCATGTTGAATCGTTTCAACACCTCTTCAATATACTTACTTTGACTCATTGTAATGGTCTTCTTAGCACGATCTTTCACAAACTCCACTCCTAAACAATAGTGAAGCTCTTCCAAATTACTCATCTCATATTCTTTTTTTAACTTTGCTTTCAACCAATCCATCATCTTCATAGCATTGGTTGACATGATCAAATCATCAACATAGAGAATGACAATCAATATGAACTCATTTGATTGCATCACATACAATGAATCATCAGCTTCACTCCTTACAAATCCTTCATTCACAAAGAATGTATCAATACGTTGGTACCATGCCTTTGGAGATTGCTTCAATCCATACAAGGATTTCTTTAACTTACAAACAAGGTCTTGTTTGCCATCTTCAACAAATCCTTGAGGGTGATCCATGTAGATGTCTTCTTCTAACTTTCTATTCAAGAAAGCTGTCTTCACATCCATTTGATGCATCTCCAAGTCCATTGCTGCCCTAATTGCCACAATAGTTCTAATAGTAGTGAATTTGGCCACGAGAGCAAATGTCTCATTAAAATCAACTCCAAAAACTTGTGAATATCTTTTGGCAACCAACCTAGCCT